GGAAGGCTCTCAAAAATCAAGATCAAAGCTTAAGGCTTTAGGCTCCATCCATGGAGGCTAGGGTTTTCTTTAAAAAAGAGGGAGGAAATGAAAAATGATGAAGATGAAATGTGAGTGGAGGGGATAGAGATCCTCCACTCACTATGTGCTCTTACACTACCTCACACACACACACTAATGCAAGATCAAATTGTGAGCCTATACTTGTTACAAATCCAAGGCTCCATCCTAGGTTAAATCTCAAGCCTAAACTTGTCAACCATCCAAGCCAACAAGTGCACCAATCCTAGGCCAACAAGTGGTTAAATCTCCACCCTCCACATGTCCTCATCCAAGGCCTCAAAGTGTTTCCACACACATGTCAACAAGTGGACCAATGAGAGTGTGACACTTGTCACACTTTCTAAAAATTGCAAAAAAATCCTTTTTGAAAATATCATCCAAATTAAATTGCAAAATGGTCCCTAAGACGAAAAATAATTACTTTACAGTAATTACACAAAACCCCTAAAGTTTGGAAAATTACAAAATGGTCATGCATCTATACCCTTTACAAGAAAAGTAAGCACTTAGCATGTTTTTCTACAAAAGTGTAAATACACATAGTATAGAATTTAAATATCGTGGATGTATACAAAATCGGAATGAAATCCGAACACGAAAAGTGAGGTTATGCTAACAAGGTGATAACCGAGAAAAAGACGAAAGTGAATAGTGTCACAAAAATGAAAATGTGAAAATGACTCGGTCCTCAAAGGAAGTCGTCAATCCACCGAAAAGAGTCTTAGAAATCATTCCCGAGTACTCAAGATGACACTAAGTGACGAGAAACTGAACTCAGAAAGGAAAAGATCAATGGAAAAAAAAATATCCGTGAAAATCTGAGAAAAGGAAATGAAGGAAAATGGCCAGGTCATTACAACGTTTCAGTTTTATTTACTTTCAGTTTTCAGTTAATTGGGATTTTATTTAGGGGTCCACTAGATGGATTCCAGAGTTGTAATCATGGAGGTTTTGAATGTTAGATTTTATTAAGTTTTATCAATTGAGGATTTTATGTTAGTATTCTTTTCAGCTTTATTATTTGTTCTTAATTCATTTTGTCATCTGTGTTCATTTTAAAACACTTTAATTGTTTGATATTCCCTCGGGTTTGGGCCTGGGTCTGATCAACCCGTGTCTCGGATCCGAGGGGTATCACAACATTCACATGTCCTGAAGGACATTATGAATGGTTTGTTATGCCTTTTGGATTAAAAAACGCTCCATAAGAGTTCCAACGAAAAATGGATACTATATTTAATAAACATTCAAAATTCTATTGTGTTTACATAGATGATATTTTAATCTTTAGTCAAACTAGAGAGGAACATAGAAAACATCTTGAAATTATATTAAACGAATTTATAACACAATTACTCATTATAAGTAGTAAAAAGATGATATTAGAAAAATAATAAATAAAATTCTTAGGTTTATTTATAAAAGAAGGAAAGGTAGAACTACAAGCACATATTGTTCAGAAAATTTTAAATTTTCTTGATAAACTAAAAGAAACCAAACTATTACAAGCATTCTTAGGATTATTAAATTATGGTCAAAATTTTATTCCAAAATTAGGAGAATTAGTAGGACCATTATACTCTAAATTAGGAAAAAATGGTCAAAAATATTTTAATACTCAAGACATAAAACTAGTTAAGAAAATTAAATCCTTAGTTACTCAGTTAGAACCTTTACAACTCCCACTTGAAAATAGTTACAAAATAATTCAAACCGATGCATCAGCATAAAGATGGGCAAGTTTACTTTTTCAAAGACCTAAAAAAGAATCTTCTCGAGAAGAAGAATAAATTTGTCATCATGCTAGTGGAACCTTTAATAAAGCACAATCTACTTTACCATCAATGGATCTAGAAATTTTAGGAGTAACAAACTCTATTGAAAAATTTCAGATATTCCTTAATAAAGAATTTCTTATAAGAACAGATTGTGATAACATAGTTAAATTTGAAAATAAAGTAAAACAACAGTGGATGTCTGCAAAAAGATGGATTTCTTTTATTGACTGTATTACTGGAAGAGGTTTTAAACCCATATTTGAACATGTCAAAGGAAAGGATAATTATTTAGCAGATATTCTGTCTCGTTTATTAATTGACTTCTAACTTTTGCAGGAATGGGAAGAGTAGCAACAATAACTATAGCCTTATACCAGGCACTTCTAATCCTCTATTAATTATCCAAAACCCAGTTCAATAGTTCCGCGCTAGACATAACCTTTTTCCTGACCAAAAACTTATTTTAGATAATATTTGGTTTTCTAGAAATAACCCCGATAGAACACTCGTCAGAAATTTAAATACTTTAAATGAGTATTTTGTAGCATCTAACAAAGCATATCATACCATTCAGCAAGAACATGATACACTTATATCTCAATTTAAAAAGTTAAATTTAGTATATCAAAAAATAACAGAAAACCCCGCAACTGAATTAGCCATGTCTGAACAAAGGACTAATGAAGATGAAAATCTTCAGAAAGTTTAATTTCTGCAGGTACAAACCAAGTATGCTAATCTATTACCTATCTTCTCTCCAACTTACAGAGAAATCCTAAGATAACAAGTCGAGCTCTTTCCTGATGACATTAAAGATCTTATCCTTGAAGAAGCTAAGTCTGATGGTTTCAAAGAATGGTTTGATATCCAAAATTACCTCAGAAACAACAGTCCACCCAAAGGAACCCGATACCATTATTATTTCTTACGTTTTATACAAACAGGAAAATTCATACCTACCATAATTTTATTAGACATAGACCTTGTTTTTTACTGCCCTATTGAAATAACTAGAAAAACTTATTTTTCCACAAGAACGACCAAATGTTTCGTAAGCGAGCTCTTAGAATTAGGAATGGTCAATAATATTTCTATACCAAACGACATGCCATTAGAATATTTAGACGTTTTAGGTAACCTACCCAATCGATTAAACTAAGCCATTATTTTCGAACAAAAACAAACTCGAAATTTCATGCTAGAAAGTCCAATTCTCCTTCAACTCCACAGCACTCTTCCAGAATGGGTAAAAAATGAAGCTAAAATTCTCGGACAATATCAAATTTATATTCATTCTGATCCAACAGAAGTCCAGGTCCTGACAAAGCATATCGATTTTGTAAATAACTTTCATAATGATATCGAACCAGCCACCTTTGACCATTTGATGTACTATAAAGCTTATCGACAGCTTAACCCAAGTTATAACCTTGGTTTTAAACTTTTCGACCATAATGTAAATATGAAAATTTTCATCAAAGCCAGAATCCCTCATGTCATCCGATCTCCTCCAGAGATTGAGATATCTCCAAAGATTGAAGAAATAATAAATGAAGAAAAAGTGTCGATTGAGCAGTTTGAGAAAACTTACAGAAATGAAGAAACCAGCTCACCAGATATCTCGCTAGATAGCGATACTGACAGAAATTTGTCTAATATGTCAGAAGTCTAAAGGGTATCCAACGAAAAAAAACAGATTCTCCATCAGTGTACAAGCTTTCCAACAGTACTAAGATAAAAGCAGGTCCAAAAGTAGATTTGCACCAGTAGCCAAAAGTAGCCAAGATCCACCAAAAGCAGATTTTGAGAGACAAAGGCTAAAGTAAAAGAAAGCTTAAAGATAAAGGTGTCCCGTAATAATTCAATAAATCTTATCTCCAACGCATCTTACATCTCAGCCATCCATGTAGCATCTGCAATCTCAAGCGTTGATATGTCACTCAGATCACTCTATAAAAGGAGGCCCTCAGTTCAAAACAGGAGCATCAAGTTTAGAGCAATCAAGTTTAGAGTCATCAAGCATTTCACCCTTCAGCCATAACTTCCTAGTGTATTTCATTTTGTGATTTCTTTCAGTGTGTTTCCTTTTGTAAAATATTGTGTGAGAGTGCATCCATGTATAAACAGTATGTATTCATGTATATATTTCCTATGAAATAAATCATTTAGTTTGTTCTTATTCAGAAATTCCTTTTCCTTATTTAATATTCTCAGTATTTTTGGGCAAAAGACTTCGGTTGACAAAAAGATTAAATATATAGATTTTATTTAGTCAGACAATGTAGATCCTAGAAGTTTCTTGAATCCAACCAGTACAAATAGCCTTAGTTTTAATTTGACAATTTCTTCTGTGAGTTGAGTCGAATTGTTGGTTTGTTGGCCCGTTCTTGCTTGTGTTCAGGCGTTTTTACAGGGCGTTATCAGGTTCGGCAGTTATTTCTGTTATTTAATTGTTAATTTTATCTCTATGTTATTGCATGCTTCTATCCGGTTCGATTGAATTTAATTTTGGTATCAGAGCCTATACTGTTTCGTTAAATTTAATTTATATATAAGATTTTGTCTAAAGAAGTCTACAAGTCCATATTAATTTACTATGAAACTTTGATTTATTAAAAAAATATTATATAGTTTGTTCAAGGATCTTTTAGTAAGTTCATTTCATGTTTTAAGACTTTTATGCTATAATAACATATAGTTTGGGTCATTATAATAAAATAGATTGTTGTGTGGTACAAAACAAAAAGTAGAGTACATTTTATAAAAATAGTTTAGTGGTTCATCCAATTATTGAAATTTCAAGACTTTGACTTCGCGAACATGTAATCTACACCCACTAAGTCCATGTATTGATAGTTTACCTAGATTGAATGCTTAAAAAGAATTACCTAATCGAACATTATTAATGGATCAAAAATTTGCAACATACCAATAAGTGCCTTATATTTTAAACACATGCACAATATTCTTCTGTATATATTCACTACAACTCAGCTGCTTTAAAAATATTTTTTATATTAAAAAAATACAAATTTATTTTTCAAAATATTTGTTTTAAAACTTGAAAAAAGAGAGGCAACAACTACCTTCACCTTCCCGTAGGTAAACAGACTTTCCTCCTACCATAGCCTCCAACGCTTCAACAACCCCCAACAACCCCCTCTACCAACCCCCACCACTCTCTCTCTCTTTCCTGCTTTAAATTTTGTTTTTTTTTTGTGGAATTAATTCAAAACCGAACTCCAAAACGTGTCCAACATACTCTCTACAATGGCAGGTTCTCTACAGTGCTCACCAAGCATTGTCTCGAGACCTGACCGTCTCTGTTCCACAGATCAATCTCTCGGGGCGTTTCCGGACTCAGGGAGCTTCAGATCAGTGTCTTTCTCCTCTCAATTTGGCAATTTCTCTCTCAAGTAAGCTCCGGGTCTCTTCCATCTTCTCGTCTCTTAATTTCCAGAATTTGTTTGATTTGGGTCTATATTGTTCATCATTCTTTTCTCTGCAATTGATTGAATCAAATGATCATGGTGATTTCTTCATATTATACAGAAAACTTGATTGTTGAGTCTGAATAATTTATTCATTTTCATAGCATCCCAAGATACCCAATTTGGAGTTTATATGTTTTGGAAGCTTGCACAATGTCTGCTTTCTTGAATTTTAGGGATTTGTTAGATGTGGATATATATGTTTATTGATTTTTGTCCTCTCTGCGACTGATTGATTGCAAAACATGATGATTTCTTCATATTATACCACTGACTGGACTGTTAGTCATATTTGGGAAAATTTTTAGGATTTGTTAGATATGGGTCTATATGTTTACTATTTTTCGTTCTGCAACTGTTTGAATTAATTCCCATTTTGATTTATTAAATTTTTTTTTTCAATTTATACTGCAAACTGAATCGTTTAGTCATAATAAAAATAGAATTCATTCGTTTTTAGTAGGATTCCAAGATACCCAACTTGGAATATTTATGTTTTGGGGTTTTGGAAGGTTGCACAATGTCTGGTTAACCATTGATTTTATATGTAAAAGCAAATAATCAATAAAATCTGAAAAAGTAGGGTTACCATTGCATTATTATATTCAGCTCTTAGAAAAAGAAAGTCGGCGTTCGCTTTTTTGTACATTCCTTATTTTCTTTATAGGATTAGTTAGAATACCAATGGTTGTGTTAGAAGAATTTATTAAAATTTGAACAGGTTACACTATATTCACTGTTTTGCTGATTAGGAATTGGTAGCTCACCTATGGTTCGTCATGACTTGTAGTTTATATATTGTAGTTAATCTTGCCGAGCTATGGATATTAAATATCATATTTTCTATTTTATCACTGATTTGGAAATTTTTTATTTTATTTCCTGATTTCATCTATATGTCTGCTTAGATCTTTGGGGACTACGAGACAGCTGCACCCATACAGAACAAGTGTAGTTGTGAAAGCAGAGGGCAGCTTTGAGCAAATGGAGGTAGGTATCACATTGAGTCCCAGAGTAAATTCAGTGAAGCCTTCAAAGACAGTGGCTATTACTGACCAAGCAACCGCTCTTGTACAAGCCGGCGTGCCTGTTATTCGATTAGCAGCTGGAGAGCCTGATTTTGATACCCCAATGGTGATAGCCGAGGTGATTTTTTAACCAATTTTGAATTAGATGCATTTATGTTTCAAAGTCAACAAGTGTCCAAGTTATTGCACCACAGTACCACCAATCATTATTAATTATTTCTATGTTTGTGAAATTTGAAAATCTAGGCTGGTATAAACGCAATACGTGAAGGTTTCACAAGGTACACCCCAAATGCGGGTACCCTGGAACTCCGCTCAGTGATTTGCCATAAGTTGAAGGGTTAGTTAACTTTCTATCCGTAGAGCACTTCTCACCAGCAAAGCTAATACATAAGCCTTTTGCAGAGAGAGATTCTAACAAAAACTTTATGATGGCAGAGGAGAATGGAATCTTTTATACACCGGATCAAATTGTGGTGAGTAATGGAGCAAAGCAAAGTATTCTTCAAGCATTGATTGCAGTTTGTTCTCCAGGAGATGAGGTGAAATAGTTTATACTTTCATAATTATCATTAGATTTACAACTTCATCAATACCTCTATTTTGGCTATTTCTTGTGAAGTTTGTAGTAAATGTCTTTTGCCTCCAGTCCTATTATCTGCTGTGTAATGTGCACTCATTCTGCTCTGTGTTTATCTCTCACAAAGTGAAATTTCAAGTTATGAGTCAAAACTACTCAATTGTTCATTACTTGTACTAAAGTTTTAACCATTGGAGTCATGGTGAGAAAATTGTTGTATCTTTGAAATCAAATTGGAAAACCGTCCTCTTTTAATTTGCACAAGATAATTCGTTGTGTTGGTTCAATCAAGTGATTTATAATGAAACAAGTCGTTAATTTTCTTCCGTGCCCTTTCAATTTCCTGTATTATGTCATGAAAAAGTGTTAAGACTTGATATTATACAAGTATCATTCCAAGAATCTACCTCTATTGGATAAAGAACCTTTAGTCACATATTGTCTGATGTACTTTTCTCCATGGTTCAAATCCAGGAGTTACTTTATTTGGTCTTTTAGATCATGGGATTCGATTAAAAGAACCATAATTAGTGTTGCAGACTAACATAAGCAATAGGTTGGAATTTTGAAATATAACAAAAATAAATATATGGGATTTCCGTATGTATAATGTGGTCGAAAAAGGCCGCTCTGACTATAATTTTTACCTTGCTACATTGATGAAGTTGGGAGATACACTCTGGTGGTTTGTGCAGTTTACTGGTGTAACTCATCCACTTGAATTTTAACTGGATGTCACTCTTCCATGAGTGCCTTCCATCTTCCCAACTCAGAAAAAAAAATGTTTTAATGGGCATGCCTTTATGATAATGTTTACCTTTTTAAATGAATATGTTAAAAGAAAGATCATGTGGGTACATAAATTGTCAAAAAAGAAAAAAGATCATGTGGGTACACATTGAAGCAATGTTCTTGGCTACATAGAGGGAGATTGTTTGGTGCAAAAAATTACAACTTGCAAGCCTGATAACATGGGTGGAGTTTTAGAGCAGCTTGTTTGTGTAAGTAACATTATAAGTTAGATACACAGTATTACCCTCCCAACATGCTTTGTTAAATGGAGCTAACATTGATAATGGTTTTTGTTTTATTCTTGGTTACATATATTAGGATTTCCGACTTTGACATGTTTCTACCTATATGCACATTTTTGACATTTACTGCATATCATCATTTCTTCAGGTGATAATTCCAGCTCCATTTTGGGTGAGTTACCCAGAAATGGCAAGACTGGCGGATGCAACCCCTGTGATTCTCCCAACCAGCATCTCTGAAAATTTTCTGTTAGATCCAAAGACCCTTGAATCCAAAATCAGTGAAAAATCAAGAATGCTGATTCTTTGTTCTCCATCCAACCCAACGGGATCTGTTTACCCCAAGAAACTGCTTGAAGAGATTGCTCAGATCGTAGCAAGGCATCCTAGGCTCTTGGTAATATCATAAAACCTGCAACTATTGTTACTATCACTTAACATTTTCATCTAGCTAACATTTAACTCCTGAATTCTCTGGCTGTTGGGTCAGGTGCTATCTGATGAGATATATGAACACATTATTTACGCACCAGCAACTCACACAAGCTTTGCATCTTTGCCTGGCATGTGGGAGAGGACTTTGACAGTCAATGGATTTTCTAAGGTACTTCTAGATACTTTGCATTCAGATATTTGTCCTAGCCTTATAGCACATCAATTTTTTATTTTTTATTTATTTTTATTTTTTATTTTTATTTTCAATGTTTTCTTTATAAATTTCTTTTTAATGTATAATCTTCATATATGGATAATACATCCCAAAGGTCAACTCACTGGGTGTGTGACATTTGTAGGCCTTTGCAATGACTGGTTGGAGACTTGGATATATTGCAGGTCCCAAACACTTTGTTGCGGCATGTGGGAAGATTCAAAGTCAGGTATGTCATATCTTTACCCACCGCATTCTTATTATAATTATTATATTTGTATTTTACATTTAAAATCCTACCTCGATTCTGTGTGTAGCCTTTACTAATATTGTCATTAAAATGTAAGATACGTTCAACCAAGATTCTAACACATGCTTGTGCACTATCTAATATTGTTATTAACATGTAACATATGGTCAACCAAGATTCTATGACATGCGTATTCTATATCTGATATGGTCATTAACGAGAAACATATGGTCAACCAAGATTCTAACAGATGCTTGTGCTATATCTGTTATTGTCATTAACATGTAACATATGGTCAACCAAGATTCTAACGCTTGCTTGTGGTTTATCTGGTATGATAACTAATAATAGGATTGTTTCATCCTTTTTCGTCATATATGTTTCAAGTCTTCTGACCTTCCAAAGATTATGGCTCATTATGGTGAATAAGATTGTCTCATTTTTATGCCTATTAAGGTCCATTCAATTGAGATTCTAATCAATTAAATTGTCAGAATATGGCAGTGTGGCTTGAATTTTTTTGACCTATCCTTATGACGTAGCACTTATTAATTCAGTCATCATGCATCTGTGTCAAAGGTGGAGCAAAATAATTCACTTCATCTTAGAAGCTTGTTTTCCGTGCTCCGCTGGTCCACACAAGTAGTCTTGTGGAAATTATAATTTATGAACCTTCTTAATTTGGTTTACACCTTGTTAATGTGTAGTAGCATTTTGGAAGAGTCTTGAGTGGAGATTTATCTCAACGTCATGGATTTTTTATATTGTTTCAAAATTAGCTTTTTTGAAATTGGATGAGTTCATAGACAAGAACATCTGTTGAAGCATGTATATTATTTCATAAAGTAGATAACTATACTGTTCGTGACATTAGAAAACACTATTGTGCAAAGAAATGATAAGTTAACAAAACACATCACTGCAAAAGGATTCACAAAGGAAAAACTGAAGATAACCATCAAAGGGTTTTAATTTGTAATTTTGTTGATTACTCATGTCTATACTGTTCAACAAGATAATGATATTTAAAGGATCATTATGAAAGATTCGGCTTATTGACAGAATTGACATGCTCAAGATAACGACTATATTTTGGTTTCAATGAAAATTTAAACTCTCAAGCTGGAAGAATTGATAAGAATCGTATTTAAGGTGCTGACACCAGGTGGTGGGACAATGCTATGCTTTGTTACTTCATCTATTTTAGCCAAAAAAGAAAAGAAAAAGAAAAAAAATAATGATAGTAAATATATATATATATATATATTGAAAAGCTATTGGGGGGTAGTCTCATTTGATCTCAATTCAAATGGTTACTTAATCATGCGATTTTTTGAATAATGGAGGGACATACCACACCATGTTCTTGTCCTATGCCTAACAGCATAGTCTAATTTAATTACATTGCTCTATTCTTCCAGTCTACTTCAGGTGCCAGTAGCATATCTCAAAAAGCAGCTGTTGCCGCTTTAGGAATGGGCTATGCTGGTGGGGAAGCAGTTTCTGTAATGGTAAAAGCATTTCAGGAACGACGAGATTATTTGGTTAAAAGTTTCAGAGAATTGGAAGGCGTCAAAATATCAGAGCCCCAGGTACCAACTTTATTTGTTTATTTATTATTATTATTTTTTTATTTTGGCAATGGAACCAGGTACTAGCTTCGTTATGCTAGCTTTCTTCTGGCCCCATGCTATTTCCAGCTTGACTGTTTGATTCATTTGCTTTTATTTGCAGGGAGCTTTCTATCTCTTCCTTGATTTAAGCTCTTACTACGGAGCGGAGGCCCAAGACTTTGGTATGATCAACAATTCGGAGTCCCTCTGCCGGTATTTGCTGGATAAGGCTCAGGTAAGCTTTCTTGAATGCTGTTCCATAATTATTATTAAATGAAAAGAATTAGAAAGAGATAACAAATTGAAACCGGAACAATGTGATAGATCACCTAGGCGAAAGCTAACCATCGCCGCATGTTTTTAGCTTACAAGGATAGGATTAGTTATGAGATTGATCATTAGAGACTCATGGGAAGAGCTGAATTTTCGATTTTGACTACAAATTGTTTTGTTATCTGGTTCAAAAGACGCCATTTGAAGCTTCTCTGAGATCTTTTTCGTAATGGTGGTTTTCTGACAGGTTGCTATTGTCCCGGGGGATGCATTTGGGGATGACACGTGCATCCGCATATCCTATGCGGCATCTCTGTCCACCCTACAGGCTGCAGTGATGAGAATCAAGAAAGCTCTGGTTTCTCTCAGGCCTGCTGTTCCGGTTTAATTTCGATAATTGCTATTGCAGATTATTATTGTTGTGCTTGTTTGAAGATCCTGAATGTTTATTTTATTGTTCCACCCCTAAATAAACATGGTCTGCCATCTATTTCCTACCAATGAACATTCTTTTGCTTTTGTATTCACTTGATGCAGATCTTGAAAGGGTGTAAAAATATTCAAAAAGGAACCTTCATCTCCGAGAATTGTTGATGAAGTGGAAGTTAAATTGAGAATTTTGCAACAGTAAAAGGATGTCAATTTGCTGAGGAAACTGAGATGAATTCTTGAATGTGGAATTCTGATTTGCAGTATATCTATACAAGCAATTTAATTTTTTATTTAATTTTAAAAAACAAGGAATACTAAAGACAGTCAATTTTGGCAATCTATAAAAACTTTTTTTTAACAAAAGAAGAGATATAAAATTTAATCATTAAAATAAGATTGAATCAGATTCATTGAAAAAACAAAGCCAAAATGGAATCATAAGGGGCTTGTTTGGCAACTGTTTTTGTTTTGAGTTTTAGTTTAACAATTGTTTTTGTTTTGCGTTTTTTATTTCATAGGAATCAGAAATAATGATTTTGTTGTGGTATGATTTATTCTAAAACATTATTTCAAAAAAAAAAATAGATGTTTGGATGAAAAAAAATAAAGGATTTACATTATATTGGCTTTTTTAAACAACTAATAACATCTCATCTCCTTTTAAGATGAAATGTCCAGGGTTTAAGCCTTTTTACAAATATTGTAAAAGTTACTTGTCATGACAAAGAAAAAAAAAAAATAAAAACACAAAAAAATAATATTGTAGAAGTTACTTGTCACCTATGAAGCACGGACACGGATACGGCGATACGGCAAATTTCAAAAAAACAGGACACGGACACGGCAAGGATGCGGCAATAAAATAATTATATATATATATATATATATATTTATTTATTTATACTCAATTTTTAATTTATTTTTAATAAACATAAACTTTTAAGCCCATTATTCTCTTGAAAAATATAGGCCCAAATATCTTAAAAATATAAACAAAAAAAAAAAAGAGGTATCACTTCTCTCTTTCTTATAATTTTATTTTATTTTATTTTTTGAAAGTTGAATGTTGTATAAATAAAGAAGTTACAAAAAATTACAATGGCCTTGCCATGATCAAAGGTCCAGCGGCTCCAGCCCAAGAAGTTTGGACAACGACTAACAGGTTAGCAACAATACAAGTGTTAGGAGCAAGGCCCAGCCCAACAGGACAGCTACTAGGAAAACTCTAGAGTAATTGCTTCCAAATAGGAATCATCCGGAAATTAGAATGAGGCGACGAAGACGCTGTTAGATCCGAAGGCTCAGCCGGCGGCCTCACAAGACGGCAGATGCTATTAGATCTGAGGCAACGAAGACGCTATTAGATCAATTCCAAATCGCAAACTATTTTCGAAGCTTTTCGTCGGCCAAAAGTCTGAAAATGCAAGTTCTCTCTTCTCTTGAAACAGACCTTCTCATCTCCTCCATCTCTCTCCCTCCCTCAATCTGTTTTTCTATGCATACACACAATCATATATATGTATATATCTCTTCATCTCTCTCTCTTTTCTTCTTTTTTCTTCTTTTTTTATTACAAAAAATTTGAACGCTGTGTCCTATGCACGTGTCGCCGGCGTGTCCTTTGCCGTGTCCGGCATGAAAAAAATAATAAAAAAATAGGACACCTCTACAGAGGTGTCCGACACGTATTGAGACCTCGGACACTCATGTCCGATACCGGTATGACCGTCCGTTGTCACGTGTCAGTACTTCATAGCTTGTCACGACAAGGAGAAAAAATTGTTACATGACATGACGGCCATAAGTTGGAAATTATCATGACACTTGTTACTTGAAGTAATGTCTTGAACAGCATCCCAACAGTTTGGACTAAAATTTGGAAATCATTGCAAATTTTAGTTTATTGTCATGGCTGTCCAGTTTCTGTAAACTGGATAAAGTTTAGATTTTAGAAGTCCAAATAAATTGGAGCATATAGTTTTCTCTATTTTATTTATAAGTTAATTGTGTTGATACCATTAATTTAGGCAAGTAGAAAGGAACTTGCCACGTTGGAATATTGCCTAATAATTTGAAAAGGAAGTTATATTGGGACGCTATCATACATACAATCCTACATGACAAAAAGACCACACCACTCCGACATTGCCACGTGGACTCACGAATTGGGTAATAATCAAGAATTTGGAAGGAAGATGTGGTGAGTTCCATGGAACTTGCCACACCATATCACTATTCCAACAAACTTGGAAGAGAAGATTGCACTAGGATGTTACTCGGGTTGCATAAAAAAATCGTGGAATTGTGGAACTAAACCAAATCGTGGGCTTTAGTTTCGAATCTCATGATTCCGGTTTCAAAAATTTGGGACCGTGAGACTTATGGGAATCGTTGAAAATCGGAACCGTGTATATATATATATATATTTAATTATATATAATATTAATTACTGACATACATAACTTGGTTACCACATGGTTACACCACTTCCGACAATCAGTCACTCACCACGTGGTCATCTGACTCATCTTGTCCTTTTGTTTTGTAAAGCTGTGTTTGACTTTAGTAAATTTGTAAACCATGGCAAAGGAAAGTTAACCTAAACCTAACCTATGAAAAAGGAAAATAAGGCATTGGCGGCTGTGTTTCGGGTTTTGCTTTGGTTGCCAATGGAAAGGTCGGCAAGAAAGGCACGACAGGGGCCCTGAAGCATTTTACTGGCGACGACGAAGTTGGTGATGGAGCGGGTTTTTGGGGATTTATTGTAGGAGTCGCCGAAGAGGTGACCGAAGTCGGCAACGTAGCCGATGAGGACAACGACGATTAGGGCAACGACGATGGCAGACGACGACGGCGATGGCAGATTTATTGTAGGAGTCTCTCAAGTTACAGAGCCGAAGCCTGCTTGTTACTACTCTCCATGGCTACAGATTAACAACTTTCTCTCTCTATATATATATATACAACAGGAGAAAAGTATATAGTTGGGAACAGGCACGGTTCGGTTTCGGTTGGATTCCATACTTATAAGGTTCTGGGGATTCCATACTTATAAGGTTCTGGTTTCGATTCCGATTCTGATTCTATTTTTAAAGAACTGTTGTGAACGATTCCGATCGGTTTCGATCGAAACAGCAAAAAATTAAACCGTGTGCATCCCTAGATGTTACCATTCATGTGACCTTACTTGGTAATTCAACTCATAAACCTTCGAATCACTCAGGTTCTGAATGGACCTTACTTGGTAATTCAACTCATAAACCTTCGAATCACTCAGGTTCTTACATATGGAATATATAAATTAAATCAGAGGAAAAAGATGGTGTAAAATCAATAAAAAAATAACACGTGGCGAGTTCAATATGACTTGCCATATCATATTGGTTTCTTAAGGATTGGAAAGGAAAGCCTTAATATCCTATAAGCAATTTCACGTGACAAAGGAAGCCATTTGGATAATGCCACATGGCATATAATTGCTACAAAATCTTTTTCATACTCCAAGCTCAAAAGAGTTGACTCGATTACTGAGGAAGGTACCTTCTCATCCTTACAATATCTCTTACTTTCCTAAGGTCATATAATTGTTAAGGTAAGAATGGAAGACCTGTGTCCAGATTCATTGAAGAGTTATAAGAAGTATATTAAATTTTAGGAAACTTCTTAAAGTTAAATCGTGGATGGTTAGCTAAAATGGTGGAGAATGTGCATATACCGTAGTGTGTATGTATATATATACTTACACACTCATAATTCCATAGGAGGAAAGATTCATACACACGAAGAGGGTTACAAAATCATGGGACACTTGGCACCAAGGAAACGTGTCAGGTGGAAGTTTTAATTGCAAATAGGACTCCTATTTCCAACTGCTAGAGGTTACCAAATTGAGAAAAACATGCACACGTATTAATATACTAAACATTTAGGCTATGTTTGGTAGGGTGGGTTTGAAGGGGAAGTATAACTTTAGTTATGAGGAAAAGGGAAGGAAAGAGAAGGGAAGGATAATTTTAATTTGGTAATGTGTTTGGTTGATTAATGAAGAAAAAAACAAAGGAAGGACAATAATCACGTTTGGGAAAAGAAAAGAAAGGGAATTATTTTAATAAATTGATTATTATACCTTTCTATATATATATATTGTCTCTAGGCCCACAAGAAAAGTAAAAAAAAATTTCAGCCTCTACGGTCTCTAGGGCAAATCATTTCAGCCTCTATTCTCGTTCTCTATTCTCGTTCTCAACTCCATCTCTCTATTCTCGTTCTCAACGCCGAACTTCTATCTCTCTCTTTGCAACTGCAAACTACTACAAGAATCAGAAGTTCAAAACCCATATATTTCAGTTTATATATTTGTCTACAAGAATCAAAACTTCAAAACCCATATCGGCATCATTTCAGATTGTTCAAAAAAATAAAACCCAATTTCAGATTGTTCAAAAAATCAAAACCCATATCAGATTGTTCAAAAAATCAAAACCCATATCAGTTTCCATCGCCCGCTGTTCCAATTCGGGTTCACCGTTCGCAAGCTTCAGCCGCTGGCCCTCTTTCTCTCAACTTTCAAGCTTGCCCCCCTCTCTCTCTGCAACTGCTAAATCAACTAATCAAGGTCTGTAATTTTTGTTTTGCAAACTAAATTCACATATAATCAATGGCAAAATTGGTATCTGAAATCACACACCAGGCCTCTCCTTCCCTTTCTTTTCATTTCCTTCCATTTTTGGGAGGTTAAAAAATTTACTGTTGAAGGCTTGTGTTAACCCTCCAAACCCTTCCCTTTTCTTCCAACAATTTTTGCCAAACACAAATTTTTAATCTCCCTCCATCACCTTCCCTTCCCTTTCCTCCCTTTGCCATTACACCAAATTGACTCTTAATCTACACAATTAAACATTTAAAAGCAATTTAATTAAATAAACACATCACACAAAGCCACATAATTAAATTTAAATTAAACAAAAATAGAATAACTAAAAGCAATTAAATAAATAGTCACAGAATTAAATAAAAATGCAATTAAAACAATTTAAATAAATCTCTAGAAATTAGTGGTATTACAAGAGTGATCATGCTATTCTGGATAGAGTTCACTCTTTGGGGAATGAAATAAGTGAGCTACAACTGAGATCAAGATTCTTAGAGAGCAGCAGACTGGTATTCCTACAAAGGATGTGTAATGACCCGGTCATTTTCAT